TCTTGAATCGCCTTGACCTTTTCTTCATCGACCTTGATTCCCTCTGCACTTACGAAAAAGCCTAGGAAAACAAGATTATCCGTGCAAAAGGTGCACTTCTTCAACTTCGCATATAAGTTTTCCTTTCGAAGCACATCCAAAACAAGTTTAAGATGCATGACATGATCTTCCAAGTTTTTGCTATAAACCAAGATGTCATCAAAATAAACAACAACAAAAACTCTAATATGCTTCCTAAAGACATGATTCATCAATCTCATGAAAGTGCTAGGTGCATTTGTTAACCCAAACGGCATAACTAACCATTCATACAATCCTTGTTTCGTTTTAAAATCCGTTTTCCATTCATCACCTTCCTTCATCCGGATTTGATGATAACCACTTTTATTATCAATTTTTGAAAAGATGCTAGAACCATGCAATTCAGCAAGCATATCATCTAATCGAGGGATAGGGTGGCGATACTTAACCGTAATATTATTGATGGCTCGACAATCCACGCACATGCGCCAACTTCCATCTTTCTTTGGTACAAGTAAAACCGGAACAGCAGACGGACTCATGCTTCTCGAATATGACCCTTGTCCATAAGCTCGTTCACTTGTTTCTCGAGTTCTTTTGTCTCGGTCGGGTTGGTGCGATAAGCTGGTCGGTTTGGTAGGGCGGCTCCCGGGACGAAATCAATTTGATGCTCGATCCCTCGGATGGGTGGTAAACCTATGGGATTATCTTCTGGAAACACGTCCTTATATTCTTGCAAAACTTACTCGGTAGCACCGGCTCGGGATGGTGAGAATAACTTATCCGGAAGCTAAAGATCGAGAATTATCGAAACCGGAAATACAAGATCGAGAAATATCGAAAGTACGGAGCTAACAGTCGAGAAATATCGAATCTGACAGTGATCATCGAGAAAATCGAAACCGGGAGTTCCAATGATCGGGAAAAATCCCAGCCGAATGAGAAAATCCGAAAAAATTGAAACCGGTAGAAAACAAAAACTTATCGACGATGATCGAGAGAAAAACATATCCGGACGAGAAAAACGAAAAACGAAAACTGGTCGACGATGATCGAGAAAATGTCCGATCAGTACGTGAAAGATCGAGAAAAACGAAAACTGATCGACGATGATCGAGAAAATGTCGGATCAGTACGAGAATGATCGAGAAACACGAAAACTGATCGAGAAAATGTCCGATCAGTACGTGAAAGATCGAGAAAAACGAAAACTGATCGACGATGATCGAGAAAATGTCCGATCAGTACGTGAAAGTCCGAGAGAAACGAAAACTGGTCGAGAATATGTCGGATCAGTACGTGAAAGTCCGAGAAAAACGAAAACTGATCGACGATGATCGAGAAAATGTCCAATCAGTAAGCGGAAGTTCGAGAAAAACGAAAACCGACAAAAGCTTATGTTAAGTGGACTAATTGTTCAGGGGGATAAAAATGGAAATCCATGAAGCCGACAAAAGCTACGCGGAAGTCCGAGAAAAAACGAAAACTGATCGAGAAAAAATCCGATCAGTACGCGGAAGTCCGAGAAAAACGAAAATGAATGAACGTTGGACAATTTTCATTTAATTTGTTACGAAAAGTATGAAGTAAAAGCATGTGGCATAATATGTGGCTTGTGCTTACTGTAAACACATTACAATAACCATTAGAGAGGAATTGAAACACCAAACCAAACCACATCAGCATGAATACATATAGATATCCCTCATAGAATTAATGAGCGTTAGACATTGGAACACCATTTCAAAAGAGGAATGAACTCGGTTAATATAAGGAAAAATATGTACACTTTCCATAAACAGTGCCGAGTTGTAGTAATATATAAAACACTATTTGCTTATTCAGGCATATATTAATATTGTACACAAAAGGAGGAATTGAACTCGGGTTGCTTATTCTAAAACAAAGTAAAAATAGCCATCAAGCTACACATTATATTGTACAATGTCATCGAAACTAACTTTGAAAACTTTTCATCTCGTCTCACAAAAACTTGTGTGTTTTAAAATCTGATTATATGACATGAAACTAGAGATTAACACAAGCATATTCATGTATTCAAATCACAAATTCATCAAAAGTTAGAGCATGAAATCTCTGTTTAAAGTATGCAATCTTCAAAATAAAACAAACAAAAGCTCGATTGACCAAAAAGAAAAGACCGGGCCGCTTAGCGACCCGGCCACGCCATCACCCTCGCAAAATGAAAGAGATGAAAAAAAAATTCGTCCAAAACGGACTACTCTACCGAAAGTTATCGCGTTTTCAAGTTTTGCAAATCCTTTTTTGGACTCAATTTGGGGACGTAGGCAAAGGGGAGGCAAGGGGGATAAAAGAACGCTGGAATACAATTAAAAACTTAACCTTGTAATTTCAATTATTTACAATTTATGTCAATCTCTAAGAACATATACACCAATAAAAGAAAAACCACGCTTTCTTCATTCTTCGTGGAATTCTCAACGATGCTCTTCTTCGGTCTCAGTCTGGGAATCGCTGGCGCAAGGGTATAGCAATAAAAATAGAAAAACGCTCTCTTCGTTCTTCTTAGAATTGCTCTCTACGAAGTATGCTCCTTGGTAAGTCTTCTCCTTCCTATTACGTTTTTGTGTAGCTTCGGTGGATTAGGGATTCTCAGAATTTTAAGGACCAACTGGACTGCAATTTGCTACACTTGGCACGTCTCTACTCTGCAATCTATCAAAACTAATTACCCAATAATTTTGGGATTTATCTTCACGACTGGTTCCATTGTTCGAAGCAGTTCCACTCTACTTATCTATGAAAAATTGAAAATATACATTTTACGTAATATCTCGGACGTATGCTTATGTAAGTCTTCTCATTCGTTACGTTATCCAGGTTTGAAGGTCGTAGGAAGGCATGGAGGCTGGAGTCTTAGTGGAGAAAAGGTCATCGCTTTGTAAACTGATCCGATTGTAAATTGCAGAGCTAGGACATGCTGCTAGCCTATTATTAGTTTATGCAATGTCACTGCATAACTATAAATTCATTCTAGGCCGACAGCCCATTACTGTTTCAAAACAGCCAAATTAACGATGCAATCCTCTTAACCTAAGGTAAACGCTATGCCTTCTTTGCTCTGCAATTAATCTAGAAATGAGGGAAAAAAAAAAGTCTTCACTTGAGATGTGTTTATTAGCAAATAGGTTTATTGTTACAGCTACTACCAATGAAAACATTTACATTAAAAGAAACTCTAGATGTTGTTCACCTTGTTTCACGCTTGTCTCTACAACACTTTCTTCACTTTATTTTTTTCAGTAAAAAATGATGAATGATACCAAAGCATACACTTATGATAATACAGCTTATTTTGCTGACTTTACACTACTCACTCTATTTTTATTTTTTCCCTACCAAAAAAATCATCCTCAAAACCTGAAACTTATAATGTTTTTTTACTAATTTTTCTGGGATTTATCTACCCCCATGGTTTAGAACCAGCAATGGTTGGAAGCAGATCCATTCTACTTGTGTAAACGTTCGTTGCTATTTTTCTTGTTCTCTATGACAATTTCGTTTTTTTAATAGCTTCTGTGAAATAAGGCCTTCAGAGTCTTAGGGTCAAACACGAATGTCATAGCTGGGACTTACTGCTCGCCTTTTCCTCTGTAATATCTCGGACGTATGCTTATGTAAGTCTTCTCATTAGTTACATTTTTCTCTAGCTTCAATGGTAAAAGGTTTACTGCTCGCCTTTTCCTTTGTGGAATTGCAAGGATGCTCTCATGTCCCAGCAAGGTTTGAAGGCATTAATTTGGGCATGGAGGGTGGAGTCTTAGTGGAGAAAACATATGATTAGATTCACTCATGTAAGTGGCAGATATTTCTTTGAATAACGTTTCACTAACTCCATGACTTACTTCTCAGCTTGTGTTTTCTCAGTTTTTTTTTCAAGAAATTTTATCCTATAAATTCTTCATCACAGTGGACACTTGCATCACACACCTGCATCACTACCAGCAATCGTTGGGATCAGTTCAACTCCCAAATATTTCTCTTATTATCTTTGCAAATTTCGTTTTCCTATAGCTTCAATGGAATAAGGCCTTCAGAGTCTTAGGGACTAACACGAATGTCATAGCTGGGACTTGCTGCTCGCCTTTTCTTATTAAATGTAAGTCTTCTCATTCGTTACGTTTTGGGACCTAGACTGTGAATTTCTACTGCATTGTTCCTTGTTTGTTCTTTGTTTACTGTTTCAGAACCTGTAAAATTTGGAAACATACCTCTTCTCGTGAAACGTTTAATGTGCCAGCGAGGTTTGAAGGCGTTACTTTGGGCATGGAGGGGGGAGTCTTGGTGGAGAATACATGTAAGTCGCAGATATTTCTTTGACTAACTCCATGACTTACTTCTCAGCTTGTGTTTTCTCTGTTTCTTTTTCAAGAAATTGTATCCTAGAAATTCATCATCACTACCTCGTATTTTCTGTTTCGTTCACACACCTGCAACACTATCTCTTATTTTCTGTTTCATTCATTTACCTGCATCACTATCTCACTAGAAATTCATCATCACTATCTCTTAATTTCTGTTGTATATGCAGTTCTGCCATGGCACAAAGAATCCTTTGCAAACTACGCTTTCATTCTAGGCCAACTCCTTATAACTGTTTCAAACCGCCAAAATTAGAATGCAATCCTCCTCACCTAAGGTAAACGGTATTGTTTCTTTGCTACACCGCACTTAATCTCGATTTTCTACAATAAAAACAAGTAAATCAGAACATGAATTTTTCCATGTCAGTCCTTTTCATGAGCTTTTGGTAGAAATACGTAGTAAATTTCAGATAAGGGGTTTGCTTTAGTTTTCTTATGCAGCTCGTCCATGCAATTGTCCTATCTCTCATATTATGTTGTATTCACCAAGTGTAAAAAAAAGTAAACTCAACAAATCCTTTTTTAACTTCATATTTTGTGAATTGTCTTCACTTCATATGTGGTTATTAGCTTATACGTTTAATGTTTAGGCTACTATCAATGAAAACAACCATAGTTAAAAGAAATTCTAGATGTTTTGGTGTTGTTGTTTATCTTGTTTCATACGTGTCTCTACATCACTTTGTTGACCTGATATTGTTCACATTTCCTTCCAGAAAGGTACTGAGCTCTGCCTCACTTTCTGTTTCTATAACATACAGGTAGACAAAACTACCTACTAAACTGAATTTCAATTTAAACCAACACAAGTAATAATGCAGCGCTAGGATGCTCTCTACGGTAAAAGACATGAATCTTCTATGGCGCAAGGCTGCACTCTATGTCGGACGTATGCTTATGTAAGTCTTCTCCTTTGTTACATCAGTTATTTCCATGTGCTGTTGGGAGAAATAAGTAGTCAATTTCAGAGATTGGATTTGCTGCTCCACTTTAATTTCCTTAGGCAGCTCGTCCATGCAATTGTCCTATCTCTTATTTTCTGTTTCATTCACCAAGGAACTTCACCGTTTTCATTGAGAGGTTCGTTATGTTTCAGTGTAGTCGTATTGTATGCATTGATGTTTTAATGACACTGTTTGCAGTTAATGATAAAACAATAATAAAGTGAACAACTTGTAGTGTTCTGTTATTTAGACAAATACGTATCAGATTGCACGGATAAGATTTGCTAATCCACCTTAAGCTAATTATGCAGCTCTTCCATTTGATTCTCTTATACTTACAAAAAACGTTGACCTAAACATTCACGTTATCAATGATAACAATTACGTTAGAAGAAACTCTACACTTGAGATGTATTTAATTGTGTTTTGGTTTGGTGTTTTAGTATCGCTGTTCATCTTGTTTAACGCATGTCTTTATTTTCTCGCATCAAGTAAAAGAAACACTACAATTTTTTCCGGGGATTTATTTATACTTCCATCTCTTCCATGGCACATAGAATCATATGTCAACTATGAACTGGTTACAAAATTTCCCACAAGCAGAACTTCCAATTACTGTATGTGAGGATGCTCTCTATCTCGAAACTATGCAAGTGTAAGATCTTCTTCGGTCTCTGTTTGGGTTTGTTTAATAGGAAGTGTACATTCTTATCTCGGATAACCCTTCTTCTTTGTTTCCCTTTGTGTAGCTTCTGAATTCTTTTCCTTTACTTTTTCAGAACCTGCAAATTTTTGGATGCAGTTCTCTTCTTCTGAGGTAAACGCTAATGCATCTTCTCTTATTTTCTATGTCAATTACTTATTTTCTATGTCAATTACCTCAAGTCAACAAATCCATGCTTAAATTTTGTGGTTTTGAATTGCCCCGACTTAGAGATGAATTTTTCAGTTACTTATGGGTAATGGCTCTCAGTGCTTTGTTTCTGGATATTCATAAAACAATATTCAGGATTTTGTATTGTATCTTAGAATTCAACATCAAACTGGAACACTTGCATCATTACTATTCTTCCATGGGGGTTTGAACCCTTTGCAAACTATGAATTGGTTACAAAAGTTAATTATGGGCAAACCATCAAACCAGGATTAAAAAAAAAAGAATAATGTAGGCAAGACCTGAATTATTTCGGTGTCAGTTCATTTCATTAGTAAATAGCACAGATGGGATTTGCCCTCTCTGCCATGTGCAGTGTTGGTTTGTTAAATGTCACAAATCGTCGTTTTTTATACGTTTGGGTTACACATGGATTTATGTTGGTGTAGGAATTAGCATCAACGACATACCGGCCTAAAACAATAATGAATCGAATCGGACCAACGGAATCGGGGAATCCCGGTTTCGCATTTAAAGAAGATTTATGTTCATTCCTAAAATGAAAATGGGCGACTTTGTCTCGTTAGGGTTTCATAAACCCTAATCAAATATTTATGAGAATATTCTTTATAAATCTAGGGAATACGAGCATTTATTGTAACCATAGATCTCTTGTATAAATAGAGAAAATGCCTCTTTTCTAGGGCATCGAATAATCAATACAAAAAACTCTAGATCTTTGATCTATTGAGCGAAAACCTAACTTTATCCTAAAGAAATTGGGACCCCCTTTTCATGTGTGAATTCTTAATTCAACAATCATTACTATTCTTCCATGGGGGTTTGAACCCTTTGCAAACTATGAATTGGTTACAAAAGTTAATTATGGGCAAACCATCAAACCAGGATTACAAAAAAAGAATAATGTAGGCAAGACCTGAATTATTTCTGTGTCAGTTCATTTCATTAGTAAATAGCACAGATAGGAATTGCCCTCTCTGCCATGTGCAGTGTTGGTTTGTTAAATGTCACAAATCGTCGTTTTTTATACGTTTGGGTTACACATGGATTTATGGGAATATTAAATAGTAACTTATGGATTTCGTATTGAAGATTAATCTTCTTATGTTTACATCTGTAAACATTATCTAAACTATAACTTGATTGGAGCGTGCTTTTGGTTTTGATTCAGATTTTGGAAGCAACCTTATCTAAACGTTCTAGATCTTTCTCTTATTTTCTATGAAAATAACTTCTTTGGTACCACTCACGGAAATCTTGGGTAAACTGAATTTCAAGCGCTAGGGTGCTCTCTACAGTAAAAGACATGAATCTTCTATGGCGCAAGGCTGCCCTCTATGTTATGCTTATGTAAGGCGTCTTCTCCTTTGTTACGTTTTTCGGTAGCTTCAATCATGCTCCACTGTTCCTTTTTATTTTGCTTTACTAGGTACGTTTATTTTACAAACATAAATCTTTGAACAAGTTACGATTTGGTTATTGTCTAGCTTCGATGAATGAAGAGGTTCAGAGTATTTTGCAGAGATGAGACTTCCCATTGCTGTTTAGGAACCTACAAATTTTGGATGCAATCCTCCTCTCCTCAGGTAAACACTATTCCGGGCATGAGTAAAATGTGTGATAGAGATACTAAAAAGAGATGAAAAAACAACTCAAACATAATTTACATTGGAAAGATAATATCAACTCAAATTTAAGGCTTAGAGCACCCCACATATAGGTGAGGTTCTGAAATGAGAGTTTTCAACTCATTTATTTAAATTTAAATACAAAAAGAAAAATTAAACCATTACCAAGTGGACATGTGGCATAAGAGTTTCTCATGAGTATTTAACAGTTTCTCATGAGTATTTAACAGTCTCTCATTTCTCTCTATGAGTACTCAAAACCTCTCTTTTGAGATACTCTTCTCTCCTTCTCTCCTATTTTTTTTTCCAACCACATATTAATTAAAATAATACTCCATGAATGGATGCCCAATCAGGAGAGAAATCGTTTACAAAAATATCTTCTGAATCAAATGACCTGGAAGATCGAGCAAGACAGTCTGCTTTTGAATTACAAAAAGGAGAAATCTTCGTTAACGAAAATGAGGGAAATAAAGCACGTAACTGAAGGAAATCATCTAAGAGGATTTACCAAGGCTGTTCTCAAATTTTTTCTTAAACTTTCGGAGCTTTTTTTTTAGCTGACTTTTACTAAAGTCAAAACTATTTTGATTTTAGAAGAAGATGAACCATATTTGTATCATCAAAAGGACTTACCCAGTGTTGGTTTTGTAGTCAATAACCCCTTGTACAAGAGCAACCTCATCGTCCTCACTCCAAACACGTTTGAAGTTAGGTTTCTTCTTCTCTTTCTTCTCTGATACCTTGACGCTCTTCACAGAAACTCCTTCATTTGTTGTTTTAGGAGAACGTTTTTCCACATATCTTCTCACCTCTTGCTTCACCGTAACCGCACAAGAGGTTCGGTAAAAGGATTAGTGTTGCTTATGCACTCTTTTTCCCTTGTCAAGTTTTGTCCCATTGGGTTTTCTTGACAAGAATTTTAATGAGGCTTAAGAAACAGTTTCAAGGCCTTTTACCAAGCCAATTCCGTGGTTCCAAGGCCCAACACTTTGCCTTGGCCTTTTTATGTGCTTGAGAGACTCGTGGTCGGTATGAATGACGAACTCTTTCGGCCACATATAGTGTTGCCACATTTGTAGTGCTCGGACCAACGCGTAAAGCTCCTTGTCGTAAGTCGGATAGTTGAGTGTCGCTCCTCCTAGCTTCTCGCTAAAGTATGCTCTGGGCTTATGATCCTGCATCAAAACAGCTCCAATACCTATCCCGGAGGCATCACACTCAATCTCAAAAGTTTTCATAAAATTAGGAAGAATTAAAACGGGAGAATTAGTGAGCTTCACTTTCAAGGCTTGGAAGGCGTTTTCTTGCGCATCTTCCCACTTGAATCCAACGTCCTTCTTGATAACTTCCGTAAGCAGGGCGGCAATGGTGCTGAAATCTTTGACAAATCGTCGGTAAAATCCTGCTAAACCGTGAAAGCTCCTTATTTCGCTCACATTCTTAGGGCTCGGCCATTCTTGAATCGCCTTGACCTTTTCTTCATCGACCTTGATTCCCTCTGCACTTACGAAAAAGCCTAGGAAAACAAGATTATCCGTGCAAAAGGTGCACTTCTTCAAGTTCGCATATAGCTTTTCCTTTCGAAGCAAATCCAAAACAAGTTTAAGATGCATGACATGATCTTCCAAGTTTTTGCTATAAACCAAGATGTCATCAAAATAAACAACAACAAATACTCCAATATGCTTACTAAGGACATGATTCATCAATCTCATGAAAGTGCTAGGTGCATTTGTTAACCCAAACGGCATAATTAACCATTCATACAATCCTTGTTTCGTTTTAAAAGCCGTTTTCCATTCATCACCTTCCTTCATCCGGATTTGATGATAACCACTTTTAAGATCAATTTTTGAAAAGATGCTAGAACCATGCAATTCAGCAAGCATATCATCTAATCGAGGGATAGGGTGGCGATACTTAACCGTAATATTATTGATGGCTCGACAATCCACGCACATGCGCCAACTTCCATCTTTCTTTGGTACAAGTAAAACCGGAACAGCAGACGGACTCATGCTTCTCGAATATGACCCTTGTCCATAAGCTCGTTCACTTGTTTCTCG